TGAGAGAGGGTGGCCAACATGTGACATCCTCTCCGCCAGAAACACAATGTGAATTCTCTACTAAAAAACAAAGAATTTCGTGCATTATTTACATTAGCAGTCATTCTTTGAGAAACGAGAAAGTTAATCAGATTATTGTAAGTCTACAGAGCCTCCTGAATTAATATGGCACACTTGGTGGTATGCATGATTATTTGCTCTGGGATGCAAGAAAGACCAGAGGAAACATTCTAGAGTGTCAGGAGCAAGTCTGGGCTATTCTAAGGTCATGGAGGCTTTCTCTTAGAAGCCCACTGTGGGTAATCTACAGTTTTTGAGGGAAAAGTGGAGGAGTCTTGGCATCTTGAGTCTATATACTGGTGGCTTGGCACCATGTCTTTTTTTTTTTTTAACCAGGCTGTTTTATGAAAATGGTTCCAGATTATTTAACCTTTTTTTCCAGCTACTATAAGTCAGCCTTTGAGTTTCATACACCATTCTGCTCCTGAGTTTTCATAGATGGGGCAAACTAGGGACTGAGAATTGGGATGATTCATCAATTCTACACTAAATTGGCAATTCTCAAGCTTAATACGCATTAGAAAAAACTGATGGTTTTTTTCCCCATCAGTTTAAAAAACTGGAGAGCCTTTTAAAACACCAGTTGCTGGGCTCTGCCTCCAAATTTTCTGATTCACTAAAATGTAATAAGTTCCTGGTTGCTATCATTTGTCTGGGGGCCACACTTTGAAAACCACTGCTGATAAATCAAACATAGGAGTCAAGTTGATTAGGGCTCTGGTCAACCAGCTAGAATCATCACAACTCTTTCACCAAATTATTGTATGCAGGTGAGCCATGATTAGATAATACTTTGAGTTTTGTAGATGCTCCAGAATATCAGATAGTAAGAATTCTTCATATGTGAGATAAAAATTCTAAAAAATAACTTCTAAATATCCCCTTTATTTTTTTCTTATGCATACGTATACCTGTTACAGAGCATTTGCGATTCTTTGTAGGCATGGGTCAGGACGGAACAGGCTAAGTCTGGGTGCTTGGTTAGTATTAATGTTGCTACTCTTGGGAGAAAGTGGAAATTCTACTTTTTTTTAAAAAAATATATATAAAATATTTTTTCCAATTTTGAAAATTTTGATTTTGAACTAGATAGCTTAATTAGTTAAATATATTCTTTAGAGACTAGAGATGTTTCTGTATTCTAATTGTCAAGAAAGAAAATTATCAGAGGATTGATTTTTCTTTAAAAAATAGAGACCTCTTGTGGTCATTCATAAAAGTACTTTATAAAACAGAAACCTAGAGTATTCCAATTTGTCAAAAGGTTTCAAGATCTCTGACTTTGTTGAAATATATTACAAAATTATATCTATCCCATAATACCTATCAAAATATATAAGAAGATCAGTAATAGGACTTTAGGACTTTACATAACAGTAACTTTTATAAATATATACATCAGTCAGCCATAAAAGTTCTAGATTGTAATTTAAAATCTGATTGAAGCATAAGACATAAAGAAAAGTGAACAAATCCTAATTGTCTAACTCAAAGAAATTTCCTGAACTGGATCTCTCTGTGTAGCCAGTATGTCTGATAGATTTTCTATTGTAATTTTATAGGTAAGGTGACTCAGGTTCAGAGAGGTTATGTGCTCTGCTATTTCATAATGTCAATCAAATCCACTTTAACTTCATTTATATAGGAATATATAAATGAATGAAGAATTTCAATAAATGTTAATATAAAAGACAGTCAGTTTACAGAGGCATAATCCTCAGCCCAGATTTGTAAATACCAAACCCTGTCAAATGAAAATACCTGTACACATAGAATTTGAGAGCAGTAGACTACACAGGCTATAATTTATTATTATTGTTGTTAGTTGTTGATGGTCATTGTTTGCTGTGGCTGTTGTTGTTGGTGATCGACTCTTGCTCCATTAATTAATAAGCAGTTTTAGTACCTTTCATGTACCAGGCACTAATTTGGATTCCTGGGGGTAATACAATAAATAGTGGGCCTTGACCTTACGAAGCTCTGAATCTAATGCACAAGAAAGACATATAAACAGTAGTTTCTGATATTGTAGTTTGTGCTTTTATAGAAGTATATATACCTATGTGGATTTATTTTCAAGAAGGTGGCTATATTTTCCCCAAAGTCTACCCCACGCCATGCAAAGCTTGAAAGTCCACAAATTTCTCTTCGGTTTTAGAGCTAGCATAGTGTAGTAGAAAATATACCTGACTAGCAGTCAGAAAAGTCATGTTTGAGATACGGCTTTTCCACTTATCAAGATTTTGGACCAGTCTTTTAGTCATGAAACCTTATTTTCCTCAATTATAAACTAGGAATGGTAGCTACCTTAGACTATCAGAGGGATCATATGAGACTGTAAGAAATTGGTCTGTGGTCTTTAGATGAAGTTCTACATTATACTTTGTCTATAGGGTATTATAAATATGAAACACCAATGCAATAATCAATTCATTCAGTTTTCCTGGGTTTATGGTGTGTTTTTTTTCCTGCTGGGAAGATGTGCTAGAGAAAGTACAGTGAAGAGAATGAAAACATTGTAAGAGTTGTGGGTGTCTGAGTCATGGAGAAGGAAGCAGAACTAAGCTTGTCAGGACAGGAAAAGGTACCAAAAGCAGATTAATATACAAACTCATTCATTCTCAGATTTACCCAAAGTTCTCCTGATCATCATCATCATCATCATCATCATCAAAATAATTTACTAAACATTAAATAAAATTCACACACTCCATGGTGTGCAGGTAAATGTTTAACATCCAATTCTCTGGAAAAAAACCAAACATATGATAGATAGCACTAGCCAATTGCTATGGTGTAAATACTCCTATGATGGCCAATTTCAGGCTACTAACATGACATCAATGACCAGGGAGATAGGAAGAGATATATAGCCACACACCCTTAAATATGACATACATAATTTCAAGAGTGTAGACAATAATAAACATAGCAAAATGATTAGGAAGTAATGAGTTTTGAGTATTTGCTAGCTCTATTTAAAAATTATTTAAATGTAATTCAATTTTATCTCATTTTTAATATTGGCTATGTTGAATATCCAGCTTGCAAAATTCCTTAAGATGTAGCAATCAGCTCTCATCCGCCTGTATGAGCCAGTGGTAGCCTAACACTAGATATGCTGGTAATTGCACCAGTATGGTTCTAGTTATGGTAGAAGTCATCACCTCCTCTGGGAAGACTCTGTGTAAGGAGGCTTTGTCTGTACTCCTATCTCAACATCCTAGATACCCAGCAATGGCCACGCTGGGTTGTGATCTCATCTCTCTCCCTCCACACTTGACTTCCTGAAGCCAGTTCCTGTGACTTTTACCTCCATCTCTTCTTCATCCAGCACTGTCCCTGAAAGAGGGAAAGCTCAACAAGTGCACATTGACCTGAATCTGGCTCCTGTTCTCCAGGAGCCCACAATCTAACTTAATGTACAAAGACACACAGCAACAGAATACATGCACAATTTAGCAGAAGCTCTGAATAAACATGTGAATGGATAATAAGGTTTTTCTATTACATACAAGTGGATTTTAGTGGGAAGTATTGGAATGGGGAGAGGGACATTATGAGATGTGTCTCTTCCAAGAGCCCCCCCCCCCACCTTTTTTTAAAATTTGAGTTGGATACCTGCTTTTGTTTTCTCATAGTACCTTGTGTTTACTCTAAGACATATAGGTCTTATCTCTGTTATGGTCGTCTATTTATTTTGTTGTCTCTGCCACCAACCTTACATCTTGGGTGCCAGGTATCAGGTCTTATATATATTTGCATTCCCAGTGCCAAGCATAATGCTTGGAATATAGTAGATACTTAGTAAATATTTGCTGAATGCATTATACAAGCATCCACAGTAATATTAGTATGTTAATTTACTAGTGATATCACATTTTAAGAGGTGTACAATAATAACTAGACTAGTACAAATTATGATTCATGCCTATAAAGAGAATGTTTATAAGTCAACTGAACCTGTGAATAACATCAAGTACCTACAACATGCCAGGCTGTTTTAAGTTTTCAACATTGTATTTAGCTATTTAATTGTCATAAAAACCTTATTAGGGCAGTAAATTATCTCCACTACAAAAATGGGAAATACTGGAAATCCAGGACATGAATTCAGGTAGATCTGTTCTAAAAATTTCTGTATTTAATAACTAAGCTATTTTTCCTCACCATTGTGTATTAGTTGTTGTTGATGATGATGATGATAATAATAATAATAATAATAAATTAGTTTAGCCCAGCTGGCATGGCTCAGTGGTTGAGCGTGGACCTGTGAACCAGGAGGTCATGGTTCAATTCCCAATCAGGACACATGCCCAGGTTTCAGGCTCCACCTGCAGTGGGGGGCGTGCAGGAGGCAGCCAATCAATGGTTCTGTCTCATCATTGATATTTCTCTCTTTCTCCCATCTTTTCCTCTCTGAAATAAAGAAAAAATATTTTTTAAAAATGATAAATTAGTTTGCATGACTCCACTTCGAATGACAACACCTAGATCCTTATCCTGTTGCTTTGTCTGGCACCTGGAACTTCCCCTCTGCCAAAGGCAGGGCTTTCCCAGAGGAACTCTAAATATCCTGGAAAATTGCTGTTTTTATATCTGAGCAACCTCTACTCCACCTCCAAAACCAACGAGTAATTTATATCAACATTATTCATTACCCACTTTAATGACCAGGGATGCACTTTAGGTTGTTTCCTCTAAAAAAAAAACGCCTACTTGCGCCTTGCGGTGACGCCCGTGCCCCAGAGGCTTTCTGGCTCACGTACACCCCGGTTTTGCAGACGCTGCCCCACAGTTTTCTGGCTGCAGAAACTACACTTCCCAGCGGCCCGTTCGTCCGCACGAACTCTCTTTCCAGGCTCCCAGAGGCATCGCGGGAAAACTGCCCAAGCTTTGCAGGGCAGTGCGGGTGGGAGACATACAGAGCGCACCTCGAAATGGCTCAAATGCAGGATGAGCAGGGAGGGGGCGCGCCCTTGATGGCGGAAGGCAGGTCGGAGGCGGAGGTTAAGCTCATTCTGTACCATTGGACACATTCCTTCAGCTCCCAAAAGGTAAAGGCCTCGGCCGGCGGAGGGCGGAGAGGATCGGGTTTCAGCACCAGGACAGCTCCCTCGGGGCCTGGCCCGCGCTGGCCCACCTGGAAACAGGCCTCCAGGGCCCTGACCCCACCAAAGCTCCCTCCAGGGCAGGGATGCGCCTTAGTGGGGGGCAGGGAGCATCAGCCTGAGGTGGAAAGCCTATGCCCGAGGCGCTGCCACTCACGGAATAAGACCAAAAGCATCACTTTCGGTGTTTGGGCTGGAGGCCTTGTCCCCTGGGCCTCGCAGAGTAAGGCAGAGGGAAGCGCTTTCAAACAGCCCAAACACCGATCTTACTCCATTTTGTTCCCATCCATTCTCTTTCAAAAGGTCTAGCATATTTGTATTTCAGTTTCTTCTTTGGGGAGAATATAATTAGGTTCGGGCACAAAGAAAGTATTGGTGATGGGGAGGGTGACTGAATTATTGTAGCCAGAGTCAGTGTCATTACCGATCTTTTCTAATTCATAGGAACAAGACGTTAGATTGTATCTGACTTGTTAATTCTAGAACAGGAATACAGTGACATGGGGCTTAAACAGGGACATGTTCTGACAAATGCACTGTCAGGCGATTTTGTTGCTCTGAGAACATCCCAGAGTGCACATCCACAAACCTAGATGGTACAGCCTGCTGCATACCTAGACAATATGGTACAGTTTATGGCTTCTAGGCTACAAGCCTGTACAGCATATTAAAGTACAAAACTACATGAGATTAAATTTACACACAAGAGAAAATGATGCAATCAAGAGACATGTAAAAACAAAATATATGAGGCTGCTGCTGGTGTAACATGACATACTGTTTTACAAGTAAACTCTAAATACCGGGATAAAGTACAGTATAGTACATACATAAACCAGTAACACCATCATATATTGTCATTATCAGGTATTATGTACTGTACATAATAGTACCCAAGCACATAATTTTATACGACTGGCAGTGCAGTATGTTTGTTCACACCAGCGTCACCACGAACATATGAGTAATGTGTGGTGCTAGGATGGCTATGACATCACTAAGGGATAGGAATTTTTAGCTTCATTATAATCTTATGGGACCACTATCATATACGCAGCCGGTCGTTGACCCAACGGTAGTTATGCTGCACAGGACTGTAGCTAAAAAGGATGTTGAAAACATTCATAACTCAGGGAAGCACAGAAAAGCTGCCTAGTGGTATCCAGGGATGCCATTTAATTGAAAGCCCCCATGCTCTGTGGTAACCGGTGTGACCTCTTCCAGGTGCGCTTGGTAATTGCTGAAAAGGCATTGAAGTGCGAGGAACATGACGTAAGTCTGCCCCTGAGTGAGCACAATGAGCCTTGGTTTATGCGTTTGAACTCAACTGGAGAAGTGCCTGTCCTTATCCACGGGGAAAGCATTATTTGTGAGGCCACTCAGATCATTGATTATCTTGAACAGACTTTCCTGGATGGTAATGTTAAGGCTATTTGTGATTTCTTGGATTTACTTTTAACAGAAGTCTATGTGTTCCCTCCATCCGTTCTTCCCTCCCTTCCTCCCTCCCTCCTTCCCTTTCTTCCTTTTTTTTCTTTTCTTTTTGGTTTTGTGATGGTGGTTTAGTGATAAAAACGTTTCCATTTCCATAAGCACACAAAAATAAATTAGGCCAATAACATAAATTTTGTATAAACCAGTACAACTCCATTTAAATTTCATGTAAACTACAAATTCTAATGTTTTAAATTTACATGTAAAAAAAACAACCCTGCAGGTGTGTGGCTTGTGGTGGTTAATTTAGTTGCCTTAAGGTCAAATTCGTAATATTGATTCTAAATGTACACTATGAAAATCAGTCTCATCTGTTCTACCAAATGGTTCCACCTTAAAAACAATAAGAGGGGAACAGAGGGATAAATTATAGGCAAGGGAGAATAGAATGTTGGTATACTTTTGAGTTCTTGTCCCCTGTAACTCCTGTATAGTTTGAATTTCATCTCTTGGAAGGAATTATAGTGCCTTTAAGTAACAATCACTTATTGATAGCCTGTTTTATATCAGGCATTTTGTAATTTCTGTTCTATTCAGTCTTCAAAGAACCCATCTGAGACAGGTGCGGTAGACTAGTTATTCCCATTTTGTACATGAGGGACTGCCTAAGTTAATATAGCTTTTTCAGGGTAGGGCTGGACTGCAAGCCCTTCAAATCCCTATCTTCATATTGTACCAACTGTCTTCCATTGTCATTGCCACTTACACATGTGTCACTTGTTCCTCGTGACAATCCTCTGAGGAGACTGTGGCTTCACTGATTTGCCCAAGATTCCACAGCTGATCAGGACTGGCAGGACCGAGAACAGAACACAGGGCTCCTAGCTCTCAGCAGAGTACCCTTCTGCAAAAGGAGCTGTGTGAGATTCAGTGCCTCTCCATCTCCCATCAGTTGTGTTGATGTTAATGGGGCAAATTAAAACCAGAATATAACGTCAAATCACTGGAAACTGGGTAAGGAAACTGGCCAAGAAAAATGTCTGAGGAGGTACTACTTTGAGGGAAAATAGATATGGGACCTGAATGGGGCAGGGACCCCAGGGAATTCGATGAGCAATGGGCTGCTTCTGCTCTTAATCCAACTATTCAGTTCTCTAGGATTCTGACTGGAGTTGTTATTTAGAGGTGGCCATTGATCTAAATGAAAGAATTTAATGAATGGCTTTTTCCTTCATCATTACCTGCCATCCCTCTGAGTCTATATGCTGGGGGTTGTATTGAAAATGATGACTAATTGATTTAATACCATTTTTTCTCAACTTTGGACAAGCCTATTAAGTAATAATTTGTATTTATTGGGAAAAGTGATTATAATAATGTGAATAAAACAAAAATAATTGTATAAGAATTCTGTTTTAAATAATCACAAGCTTTAAAATGATACAGTAAATGGAAAATCATATTTAATCTTTTGTTAGTGTCTCTTAAATTACTACTGCTACTACCATTCTCCTCCTCCTCCGCCTTCTCCTTATCTCTTCCTCCTTACATTGTTTCTCCTCTGAGATATTTAGTAATATGAAATATGTTACTTAATAACATAGTAATGTTAATGATTATTAGGCTTTCTTAACATGTCCCTTAGGCTTTTCCTTTTCCTTTGACTGTATAACAACAAAACTGAAACACATTCTGCATCCTGCTCTAACAAGGGAAATACTAGGTTCTTATTATAATTTATTGAATCAGAGAAGGAGGCATTGTGGGCTAAGTGTTAAGATAAAAATATGGAAACTAAGGACTTTAATTCTGATGTACCAACAGAATAAGAAATCAAGAATCCTAGCTTGTAGCCTGAAGCTGACCCTAACGTATTCAAGGTCCTTGGTGACTTGACTTCTGTTCGTCCCCTCGGATTAGGTGACATAGTTTTATCAATTGCAGACATAAAGCAAGTCCAACTGGTTCCTATCTTACTCATTCCTCTTTCCTAGGAGAGCAGTCTTAGGGTTGTAAAAGATTAATATTAAAGGACCTAAACCCATACCAAACCAGCACAAGAACAATTAGTTACATAAATGAAGACTAGTCTAATCTACAGATGAAGTTTATCCCAAAGTATTAAATAAAAAACAAACATGCAAGTGTTATTGCAATTATCATTAAGACACTTTATATTTACCATTAGGAACTCAGGGTGATTAGGAAAGGAGCCAGACAAGAGATAGGCAAATGTTATCAAGGAGGCAGAGTGGGGAATTCTACCAATTCTTGCTACTTAAAGTGTCTTCCATTGACCAGTGGCACTGGTATCACTGGTATCACTGGGAGCTTGTTAGAAATGTCATTAACACTTAAAAAAAGAGTCTATTATGTGCCAGGCATGATTCTAGATATTGTGTATCTTGATTTAAGCAGAGCATTTACAATTGCTTTATATGATACCCTTGTGGAATGAAGGAGCAACTATGGCTTGATGAAATGCACATTTTCAGTTGAATAAACCACTGTATTGAAAAATATTCATTTTAGATTTCTTATACTAGGTTGCTCCTTTAGCCATAGACTGTTTTTTAATTTATTCTATAATAATTTTTATTTCACTTTATTTTAATTATTTCAATTGCTTGTGGACCACTCTAAACATCATAAGGTTAGAGACAGTGTCTGTCTCATTAACGACAGTATTCCCAATGCCTCATATGGTGAATATTCTTTAATAGGAACTTAATAAATACATTTGAATTATTAAAATAAGTGAATTATTGAAAATAAATGTCAACCTGGGCAGGGATCTCTACTGGTGTTCATATAGGCTTCTATTCTCTGAGGAGCCTATCGATTCCATAAATGACTTGAATAAAGACATAGCAGAAACATTATTAGATTTGTAAATGACAGGAAAGCTAGGATGGTTACTATGATGACTAGCTTACGAAATGTTTCCAATGGAACGATAAAATGGAAACATAACTGAGATAAAGTTTCACAAGGTTAAATGTAGTGTGTGAATGTTGTTTGTACAAGTCACCTCCATTAATGAAGGATGGGAGGCCTGGCTGGCTAACGAGTTACCAATAAAAGCCAGTAATAAACAAAAGGCTAGTATGACCTGAAATTGTTTCAGAAGTATAGGTTCTATTTAGAATATGGGGAATTGTAACCTGCTGCATTTTTAACTGGTTGGAATATGTAGCATTTTGTCCAGTTATGGATGGAACTGTGAAGGAGTTGGCAAATTAGAATGATAAGTGAATGGGTTTCATGAGGTGTATAGGTGCCCAGGGTTATAATAGGGAGACTTCAATTAAGTGTATCCATTCTAAAGAATAGACTGTAGTGAACTGGTACCTCCTTCACTGTTACTGCTGTTATCCCGTGTTAGTCTATCAGCTGGGGATTATACTAAAAATGACCTTTCTCAATCTCTCTCTGTAATCAGTATTTCCATAGTTACATCCTTATGAGATAAGTCCATTAAATAACTGCTAGTTTTGGGGGGAAAATTTGACCACCAAGACAGTCTTTCCAAGTTTTAGCCAAAGAAAGTGAATATTAAATTGAATGATGGCTATACTTGATATTTTTTAAAGCAGTTACATGGAAGACTGGTGTTGACATCAGCCCAATTGATGAATCACTGAAGAAAGCCAATTAGATCTTCAAATGTACTCCGTTGAATTTTGTACTTTAACAGTGGAATGTTCCTGAGGTCAGAGGCTGGGTCAAAGGAAGAATTTAGAACTACTCCATTGCTCAACCAAAGGCTGGCCAAGAGCAATCTCTTGATTCATTCTTTCAGTAGACATTTATTGGGTATTAATTGGTACAAGGTTCCAATTTAAAAGACCTCAAATCACTAATAACTTATCTTCAAAGATAATTTCATTCTATAAATTTGGCTGGGTGCCAAACCTGCTTGCAAGACATGCATGTACTATCACTACTACCCAGTTTTCATATATGTGACAACTTTTCCTACCTGGGCATGTGATGAAGAGTAGTTACAGTAAAGCAAGCGATTTATATGATAGTAAGAAAACTAGGAGAACTCAGGAGAAATGGATGTGACAAGTGAATATAATATACACACTAATAATAGGAATTTAAAATCCAGATATTTCTTATACTATTCATAATCTCTTTGGGTGATCTTTAATTTGGCCACTAGATAATAAAAAAAAGTGGGCATAAAATAACTGCAAAATACTAGAACATATGCTATTTTTTTTACTGCCAGTGGTAACCTGGAAACAAGGACGTATTATGGTGAATATTGAATTTTGGTAATTTAATATATAACAGAAAATCCTGGGTGCATAATTTGACACCATGTAATTTTTCTTGTCTGTGTTTAGATTTGATCTAACTTAATTGTTTACTATTAGTATATTTTCTAATGGTCAGGTGTATGACTTGTTGAAGGGTACAATCTTATTCAGCTAGTTGATGCATATTATCTTATATACTAATGTCATCACTAAGTGATCTAAGTAGAATTTTAAAAAAATCAACAAAAGGACCGAGTTAGGAATGAGATCTACTCTGTTTTCATTGAGCTAGTAGAGAAGACCTGAAGGTTCTTCAAATAGACCTGGGGGAGTCTTTCTTGAAAACAGGCATAAAATGCCTCCTTTATCTGCCATCACTGGGGAATGCAGGCAATCAGAGTAGTGAATTTAGTAAAATAATGGAAGCTTATGCCTTTAAGGCCTTAGATCCTTTTTACTTTTTGCTCTTGGAACTGAATGTAATTTTTTAAAATGGCTCAAGGCCATTGTTATTATCACCAGCAATATAGAGACTTGAGAATTAAAGGGCTGCAGAATGCTTTTATTGTTTTTTTTTTCTGATTAAAAAACCACAAAAACTTCTTTTGTTTTCTCTCCTTGTTGTTTATCACGTCATTCTGCTTTTTTATGCCTATCTGCCTTTTTCTAAGTTGTTGCCTAAATTTAGGTCCAATACAAGACCTGTCTTGTCCCCTACTCAGTCTTCTAGGAAGTCAGATCTTGTGCAAGTTATTTATTTATTCTTTTTTTAAAATTGATTTCAGAGAGGAAAGGAGAGGGAGAGAGAGATAGAAACATCAATGATGAGAGAGAATCATTGGTTGGCTGCCTCCTGCATGCCCTCTATTGGGGATGGAGCCTGCAATCCGGGCATGTGCTCTGACCAGAATCGAACCCATGACCTCCTGGTTCATAGGTCCACACTCAACCACTAAGCCACACCAGCTGGGCTATTTATTTTTATTTATTCTTCCAGTGACTGCTAATCGTTGCTTCCACTACTGCAACCCGATTCCCCAATGCTGGGAACTCTTCCCACTGCCCGCTTCTTAAAAGTCCTCGATTACCACCCTGGCTGGTTTGGCTCAGTGGATAGCGTGTGGGCCTGCGGACTCAAGGGTCCCTGGTTCAAATCTGGTCAAGGACACATGCCCAGGTTACAGGCTTGGTCCCCAGTAGTGGGTATGTGTGTGCGTGTGTGTGTGTGTGTGTGTGTGTGTGTGTGTGTGTATATATATATATATATATACACTAGTATATATAGTTTTAGTATATTGACCTTTAACAAATAGCCAGATATCTCTCCAGCACAATGTGTTTATTTGGGAACAACAAAGAATTGCAATTTGGGACCTGTGGTCTAATCGTGAACCATGTGCAAGCGCAGAGAAACAAGAGGAACACACTCTTGTATGGACATAGGAGGGAGTGTTGTAAAGGACGAATCCATTGGAGGAAATTGAAAGCTCAAAGTATAGTGACTTCTCATTGGCTGAGTTTGGAGGCCTCCCGTTGGTGGAGCTGTTACTGGGCTGGGAGGACCCTTTTCCTCCTCCAGCTTGGGTAGGAGGAGTATGCTGGAGGCGCTGGTGCGTCTCCCTATGGGGTCAGTAGTGAGCTATGAGAGACACTTCGTGTTAGAGTTCTCCCAGCCTCCCCACTCCATTGAAATGAGGGTTTTGTTTATTAATTTTCGCAGGATTATAACAAAGTTGAAAGGACTGGCAAATAAAAGTTGATGAGAGTGAGAGGGCAGATCTGTATAGTTCAAAGGAAATTCCCAGCTGTGTTTTGACTGCTATGCTCTGGTGACAGGAGGTGGCGGCCCATGGCGCACGTGGCGCTGGACAGGGCGTGCTCGGGAGAGGCTGAGACTGAAGAGAAGCAGGACCTGCGGGTGTTTTCTGCTCTGACACAGCGTTTCGGGAGAGAGTTACATAGCAGTGGCGTACTGAGTCAAGAACATTATTTGCATGCGTTTCAACATTGGAAGAGTTCAGGCCTGGCCGCATGAAGCCTCCCTCCCCAGAAAGCAACCAGACCTCTTTTTCCTGCTCTTTCACTTTCCAGGGGGAGGTGGCTGCTCTCCTGGACACTAGCCTCAGGCCTGGCACTGGAAGGCAGCCAGGGCCAGGAGCCATGAATTTAACCACCTGGGAAGCATTTAAAAATGCTGGCCCATTGATGGTATTAAGCTGAGGTTCTTAGAGTCCTAAAGCAGTGGTTCTTAAACTTTTTGGTTTCTGGGTCGCTTTGTGTTAGAAATTATTAAAGATACCTGGGCCACATCTATCAATATCGACCACACTGGAAATGAAAGCGGAAAGCAGTTTGAAACACAAGAACGCGCACGCCTATGTGCCATGAACTGTGGGAAGGAGGAGTCAGGCAGCCCCTGCACAGCAACGCTGTACACTGAGAGAGCAGAGTGGGAAAACAATCAACATCTTAGAGTTACGATAAAAACAGCTTTGACACTGTGGAGCCCCTGAGAGTGTCTTGGGAAAGCTAAGGGATTCTCAGACCACACTTTGCCCTTCGTGGTCTATGAACAGAATTCAGGAGATTTGAGATCTTACTTAGATGGGGGAAATTATATCTTGTTTTCACTAATTTCTGGTAGAAATTTATTATTTCCTCTCCTTTCTAATGTAGGCATAATCCACAGCAGTAGCAGGAGTGCCTGTGACTTTGTTACCAATAGAAATCACAGATGTGCTCATAGTGTATCAAGTTATTGCAGATACAGTGGGGCCTTGACTTACGAGTGTCCCGACTAACGAGTTTTTTGAGATACCAGCTGTCTCTCGGCGGATTTTTTGCATTGAGTTGATAGAGTAATTTGAGTTAACGAGCTCCTTAACGAGCTCGGTCTCGGAACAAATTAAACTCGTAAGTCAAGGCCCCACTGTATTTAAAATTACCATTTATGCTCCTATTATTTTGAAATTATGATAGACCTGCTGCTAGATCTTGTTAATGTATTAACACACAGGCACCCATATTAGTATTTTATCATTTAAAATTACTTTCTTAACTGTATCTATAATAATAAAAGTGTAATATGATAATTAGACCAGAAGTCCTACCAGTCAAAGCCGGAGCTGCAGCAGCGGCATCAAGGAAGCCACTGCCTGGGGCTTCGAGGGAGGGATCCAGGCAGCCACCAGGACTGCAAAGGCCTACTCTTGCTCGAATTTCGTGCATCGAGCCTCTAGTTTTTATATAATCAATTTCCTATACAGTCCTATGTTTGTATTTTATGCATTTTTTAAAAAACAACAAGAATTTATTTTCATGATTACATGTCTTGTAGATTAGCTGGAGTTTGCCTCATACAGGCTGGCCTCAGCCCCAGACCGGAGGGTCAGCTCAGGTCTTCTCTTTCTGGGACTCATGATCAAGGGCAAGAATCTCCTCAGAATGAGTGTTTCTCATAATGGATTACTTGACCACAGGAGTGCTAACACAGCTTGTATTTTACACATTTAAGAACAATATTTTGAGCAGAGCATGGTGGCACACAAAAGGTTAAGAACTCTCAACATTTTAAGGACCTTAGAAGGCATCCAGTGTGTTGTACTCATGGAAGTGGGATGCGTGTACCGTGCATTGATTGGTTGGCATCCCAGTAATACACTGAGATCAAGAGATTTTGAAAGGTCAGCAAGGAAGTATGCTCTGGTTGGGTAAATCCACTGTTGGCAGGTGGTGTATAGCTGACACTTCATTCTGGATGATCCTAATGCAGCCTTCAGAATTGGATAACCTAGCAGTTAGAAGAATAATCCATCTTGTGTTTTCTTAGAGAGTCAGAAATAGCCTGTTGGCTTCAAAAACTTGTTCTACTTGGTCTGGCATTATGAAATCTTCCCTGCAACCAACTCTGAATTGTCAACACTTATGAATGAGTGGGTCATGCTCAAAAGGATTCTAAGTTCAATAAATAACCCAAACGGAGGAATAAATCAATAAAATTGAGACTGTTCTTTTCACTCGTTGGAATAAGGTAGTTGCCTTTTTTTTTTCTGGGCAGTTGGAGAGGCAGAAGTGGAAAGTGATTTTGAAGGGACATTGACCTCACCTTTGGGTCATGCAATTCATCTTCATCATCCTTAGATAGTCTCTGAAAGTAAGCTCTTTGAAGATGTTATGATGATGGAATAAACCAGAGCACTGTATTAAGAGATAGATGACTTTAGTTCTTGTTCTGCCTCTAATTAGCTGTGGGATCTTGGGAGAATTTCTTGGCTTCTATATCTCAGTGCCCTCAGAGCTTCTCCAGCTCAAATACACTAGTCCCCTTTTCTGTTGGAGATAGATACAAGACCCCCAGTGGATGGCTGAAATTGTGGATAGTACCAAACCCTACATATCATATTTTTTCCTATGCATACATATCTATAATAAAGTTTAATTTATAAATTAGACACAGGAAGAGATTAACAATAACAATAATAAAACAGAACAGTTATAATAATACACTGCAATAAAAGTTATGTGAATGCCTTTGGGACTATTATGAAATAAAAAGGGTGACTTGAACACAAGCTCTGTGATGCTGCTACGCTTGATCTGATAACTGAGACAGCTACTAAGTGACTAACAGGAAGGGACAGCATGAAATTTCATCACGCTACTCAGAATGGCGTGCAATGTAAAACGTATGAATTGTTTATTTCTGGAACTTTTCGTTTAATGTTTTTGGATCATGTTTGAATGCAGGTAGCTGAAGCAATGGAAAGTGAAACCATGAATACATGTGTCTGCTATTGTCTATAATTCCTAGTAATTTGGGAATGTATTAATTAATTTGTTAATTAAAATTTACTGTGTACCTATTTTGAGCCAAATATGATATTAAGTACTGAGGATGCAAAAGAGAACATGGTCCTTGCCCTCAAGGAGTCTATAGTCTAGATTTTAACCAGAAAATGAGGATTCATGTAAAATCCACTTTCCAGAGATAACATATTAGAAATTCCATGAAGATTGTCATTTTACATTCACATAGCATCGATAGGGTAACTCTTGGTATTATTTGGAACCTAGGAGAGAGTAGCCCCTGCACCTCTGTCTGTAATGAGCTTGCATTCTTAACCAACCTTTACCAAGGGCCTGAAATATATGGGGCACTATGCTAGACCCTGGACCACAGGCCCCTTACCCTGCAGAGGTTCATGGGGCAAAAAGATACAAATAATTAAGGTGATCAGGGCTCTAATGGAGTATGCTCACGGTATTTTGTGTGTACAGAGGAAGGCACACCTGGCCTAGTCAGATGCTGGTAGTTGTAGGAGGTCAGGGAATGCTCTTTGAAGAGCTGGCATAGCTAGACCTTGAGGGTTGAGTAGTAATTTGTAAGGCGGAGAAGTGTGAGAATGCCAGAATGATCATGATTTGGGATCTGGCCTGGTACATTAGGCCATTTCAAAATTTGAATCTCTGAGCTCGGGAGATATCTTTTAAAGCCTTGATATAATATCGAAAATGTTAATGATGAGATGGTTGGGTTTTTGTTTCTGATGTAATATTTCATTTGTAACTTTTCCTTTAATGTTTGTGTGTGTGTTTGTATATGCACTTTAGAAAAAACACCCAAGTTAATGCCTGATAAAGAAAGCATGTATTACCCACGGGTACAACACTATCGGGAACTGCTCGACTCCTTGCCAATGGATGCCTATACACATGGCTGCATTTTGCATCCGGAGCTAACCGTGGACTCCATGATCCCAGCTTATGCAACAACAAGGATTCGCAGTATGTAAAAATCTTAAAGACCTGAATTCTGTCCTGGGTTTCTTTTAATTCGTTTAAGGTCTAGCCTATCTCATGAGCATTGAGAGGCGATGGGAACAGAGTTGTTGAGTTTGCTTCATGGACGGGCATGTGATAGACGGACCATGCACCCAGGTTAATCAGTGCTTCAGCTGTCCAGCTGGACATTTATGGTCTATAGGTCCCGATTTCCCAGCTCTCGGCTTTGAGGGCCAAGTTTGGATAAAACTCAGAAGAGTGACCTGTGGAAAAGTAAAGGGCATGACGTGTTCTCGTGGACAGCTGGACCGGGAATCAGGAAAGCTGGGATCTGTGGGGAACAGAGGCAACTGAGTTCACATTTCTCGTTCTTCCCTTTCATTATGTGAGGGAGCCAAACTTTAGGCTGTTTCACTTTTACTCTAAATCCAGTGATTGCAGAATTACAGAGCTTGAATTGAGCCGTCCAGCTCTCTTCCATCCTGTCCTGCCCGAGGAAGGAGTAGGGTTGCTACATGAGGTGTAGAGCAGCAGAAGGGTGCGCTGTGGCACAGTAATTGGGGACAAGAAAATTGGGGATGGTGGTTGTGGTCAGACTCTGTGGATGTCTGACTAGAAACACACACCTACATCTTCTAAACCTAGAAACAATATCCTTTCCAAAAACCAAGCCCCACCTTTATCATTCTCTTATGTTATTTTTCTTTCTTTTTGGTACCTCTCCTCCTCCCTCTTCTCCTCTCCCTTCCCTTCCCTCCTCTTCTACACTCTCTTTTTCTCCTCTCTCTTCCTGCTTCTCAGCTTCCTCTTGCTTCCCCTACTCTTCATAAGGACTGGTCTATGATTTGAAACAAGTATTCTGATAGATACAATTCTGTCACCTAGAATTTGTATATATATTTTAAATAAGGCTTTGCCCTCCTCTTCATATAGAAGTTCCTTACAGAAAACTTGAAAGGTATGGGAAGGTAGCGCAAGTACCCTGCACCCAGCATTTATGACGTCTGGGTCTTCCCTCAGCTCTTTCCAGGCGCTTCTCACTGAATCCTGCCCCTGAGCAGGTACTCTGAGAGGCCCACGTTAAAGGTGACGAAACTGAGGCACAGAGAGGGTGAGCCCGAGGCAGAGGCAGGGCCTGAGCCCCTGAACTCCTGCTCTTACCGTCGAGTTTCCTGCTTCTCCTTGTTTCTCACACAGAAGGAAGGAAATAATTTTCTGTTTCAAAAATGATTTCCTTATCAGGCCAAATTGGTAACACAGAGTCCGAACTGAAGAAACTTGCTGAAGAAAACCCAGATTTGCAGGAGGCCTACATCGCAAAACAGAAGCGCCTGAAAGTGAGTAGACCAGGTGTCCTCAGCTGACAGCCACTGTTTGTGCTAAATGTTCTACCGTTAGCACTGTTTCTAGAACATCTCCTATTAAAGATTGCAGGTCACCAGCACACCATTTACCGGTGGCTCATGCTGTGCTTTCAGAAAGAATTTTTCTTGATATTCAAACCTAACAACAGCTGCTTAGACAGCGGATATTGTGCATGCTGGTTCCCAAGCACAAGCACAAAAGGTAAGAGCAGGTTAACAACACATTTGAGGTACTCTGTGCATCAGGCCTAGGCTGCCCTCTGTCTGTGGCTTACCTGGCTCCTAAAGGCTTCATCAGTTACAGTTGACCTCTCTTTCTCTCTTAAAAAAAAGATTTTTATTGACTTCAGAGAGGAAGGGAGAGGGAGGGAGAGCTAGAAACATCAATGATGAGAGAGAATCATTGATTGGCTGCCTCCTGCACGTCCCCCACTGGGGGATCGAGCCCGCAACCCAGGCATGTGGCCTGACTGGGAATCGAACTGTGACCTGGTTCATAGGCCGACACTCAGCCACTGAGCCACGCTGACCAGGCGGCCTTTCTCTTTCTGTTGATCCTTCCCTATGGCCCAGCAGTGCGTGCCAGCTCCTCCCATATTAAAGATGTAGCAAGCAGCACCTCCCCCTCCCTCAGCTTCCCATCTTCCTTTACCGTATCTGAGCGAAAGGAGCTTCTCAGAAGAAAGGGGACACCTGCACACAGCACTGCTCGTTCTCCACTCGCTGCTTCCCTCACCGCCTTCAGATTTCCCCCTCAGCCCCCAGCCGTCAGTTATTCCAGTTATTCACTCAGCAAAGCCTGCTGACGTTCCACTCCTGAGCTGGGCCCGAGAAGCATCTCTGTGCCCCTCATCGTCTTCGCCCTCTCTGGTCCTCTGGTCCACAGGAGTGGCCAGTGGGCAGTGGCCCTGGCCCTGGGGCATGTGCACAGCCGCGCATTTCCCCCCAACTTAGCTTTCGCTTTAACGAAGCTATTCTAATTGTTCTCATTTACAACAAACAGTTCCCAACTCTACAATAGTGTCTATCTGCTTTGCTCTACAGCGCTTGTTTCTACTGGCTTAACTAATCTATTGCGTTATTTTTGTTAATTAGTCGAAGCTGCTTGACCATGACAATGTCAAATATTTGAAGAAAATCCTGGATGAGTTGGAGAAAGTCTTGGATCAGGTGGAAACCGAGCTGCAAAGAAGAAACGAAGAAACCCCAGGTAGGTTCTCATTTGTATTCCTTTTTCCTGGACACCACGAGTCTTTATGGGAACAGCCTTAGATTTCAGTAACAGTGCTCTTTCATTATTTTCATGGGCAGTTTGAATTCAGTAAACAATCCTGAGAAGCTGAGAGCCTCCATGCCGGAGGAGTTAGGTATTTCCTCTGTTTAGGGAAATAATAGGTGAGCTTTAGGAATATCCATAAAGTCGGGCCTGAAATGTCACTCGGTGAGTGCTGCTCTCAGTCACTATGGGAAGTGTAACAGAGTCCCTATTGGAAGCAAGTTTCAGCTAACGGGGTCCTCAACTTTGTTGTCAACTGGAATAGCACCCTGGACGTGGGCGGCGTGCTTGCACCTGAGCCCTGGCTGCACGGCTAAGTCAGGTGCACAGGTGCAATGCGTGGATGCTCCCCAGGTGGCCTGCACGTCTGCACGTGCTGGCCCCAGTTCATACTTGACTGCAGATGAGAAGTTGTGCCCCTGCCTAAGGAAAGAATTAGAGGGAACATTCAAGCACCTGCTCAGGTTATTCAACTAAACTAACTGCTGCAATGGCACGTTTGTGAGACGGGCGAGGTTGGAATTCCACAATCATAATCTAAATTGTGCAGAAAAATCCTTCAGGGGTCCTATTTCACGTCGATGCAGACTGACCAACAATTAGATACCAGGGCTTTGCTAAATGCAGTGTTATTGTTGCTATCCTCAATGATAGATAGGCTTTGAGCTCAAATGACCCCGGCTTCACTCAGGGACCGAGGTGGCTGGCAGATGTTAAGTCTCCCTGAGCTTGGGATATGTATGCATGGACTTGGTTTTTAGCATAAAATTACTCGCCGAGTAGGATTGCCAGGAAGATGTACCATGGCCTTCATCTCCTGCTGTCCTCACACCTGCCCTCAAGACTGAGACGCAAGATGCCAGGTAGGGTCTGCCTGTGCGGTGGGCGCGGCCCTAACTCTCCGTGTCCCTTTCTCTGATTAGAAGAAGGTCGCCAGCCCTGGCTCTGCGGAGAGTCCTTCACCCTGGCCGACGTCTCGCTCGCTGTCACTCTGCATCGCCTGAAGTTCCTGGGGTTTGCGAGGAGAAACTGGGGAAATGGAAAGCGACCCAACTTGGAAACCTATTACGAGCGTGTCTTGAAGAGGAAAACATTTAACAAGGTTTTAGGGCATGTCAACAATATCTTAATCTCCGCGGTGCTGCCCACAGCACTCCGGGTGGCCAGGAAGAGGGCCCCCAAAGTTCTTGGCACCACCCTTGTGGTTGGTTTGCTCGCAGGGGTGGGTTATTTTGCTTTCATGCTGTTCAGAAAGCGATTTGGAAACCTGGTATTAATAATTAGACCCAGACCAAGTTATTTCTAGGCTTGCGGGGATCCGGTGGTGGCAACTCACCCTACCATTTAGCTCAGCCTTGTCCACCCTGCCAGGCCCAGGGAAGAATGACCCTGGGCAACCAGCACAAACCATATCTTACTTTACTCTTTGGGTAGTTGATGTCAGGGAGGTGGCAATGAACATGACGGGGCTGGTAACGTTACGATTACTGACTTGCAAACCTAACCTAATCTCTCCTTAAAACATGCGCAGGGGCCAGGTATGTTAATGCTGATAGGTAGAGAGTAGTCCTTGACCTCAAAATGCCAGTTTAGGTTCTGAATTTTTTTTTTTTGGGGGGGAGGTTATTATTACAAGCAGACAGTAATAATAACTCGAGGTTGCCCATAGCTCTTTATCTGAGACTATCTTGATATGCTGAGTGCTGAGTAGTTAGCAGTATTTGCCCCTGGAATTTAGACATAATATTTGTTACAGCATGGGGTTCAGACAGCAGCAGGGTGCAACAATGCTCCATGTTAGCACAGCTGGCTTCAGGCACAAATAAGGGAGGCAAAGGGAAAAGGGAGAGGGAGAAAGGGAGAATGAAGTCTACGCTGTACAGAGCAGAGCAGTGGAGTTCAATTTCCAGGAGCCTCCAGAGCCACCCAGGGCTGCCTGTCCCCTAAGGAAACATTACTGTGATGACCTGTGCCCACTGCCCACACATCCTCCCGTAGCTGAGAACCTTGGGAAAACAAGGCCAAGGATTTATGAGGTGGAGTGGGCTGGAGAAAACCCAGGCTTTATATTTACAGCACCTCATTTGAATGCATATGAATCACGCTTACATCCATTGATTTAATAAGATGAACTGCTCATGTACTTTGGTGTGAGATGCCCACCCAAGCATGTCTGCCTAGCATTTACATGAAGATATGAAGTGACATAGAAAAGGTTCCTTTCTTTTCATGGTTCCCCAATTCGATGGTGCCTATGGACTGTTGTGTCCAGTCACATGTGGCTGGGTAGTGGGTTTTGATGAGCTGGGAGTACTAACGGTGCCCATTCTGCATTTGGGAGGCTGGTGTGTTCATCCAAAAACTGTTGTCCAGGCCTTGCATCTGTTTATGATCATCAACAAATCTTTAGAAGGTTCCAGAGGAAGAGAAAGGTCTAGTCTTAGCCCTTGGCAGTTAATTTACAGGAAATGAAGTAAATGGCTAGGTAGGAATGTCACCAATATTCATTCATATACATCTAGGCATCTTGGGGGTGCCTGAGTCCACGTGGAAAGGACAAGCCCAGTGTGTCCCACGAACAGCCATAGAGCTGCATCCGACAGTCTGGCTCAGAGGCACACAGAGATGCTCTAGAGCTGGGCAGAAAGGCCTTGGGAGCGGTGTCAGGTCTCTGGCAGAGACAATAAGGAGCCAAGGGACAATAAGGAGCCAAGGGTCCAGGAGCAACATAAGTTTGCTTGGACGCCCCCCCCATTGGCTGTGCAAGATAGCCAAAGACTGGCCTGACTATTTCTTTCATAGGAATCAGTCATTCCTAGGGAACAATGATTTTCTGATGGTCAAAGGCTTCTATAATTCCATTTCATGATCCAGTTGTTTCAGAAAAGCTTAATGAACTGGATGTTCTGTGTTTACAAAAAATTAATAACATTTCCGGTGTGAACTCAATCCAACAATCATTAATAGACAGGCAGCTTTTATACTAGTAATGTCTTAATTTTGCGCCTCAGTGCACTGTTGTATAGAGTGAAATTTGTTGCTGGAACATTCCGATCCATGTACTCATAAAAGATCCACAAAACTGATTATTCAGTAGTTCGCAGTGTTATTTGTTACCTTGTTAGGAGCAAGAACTCAGACATGAAAAAACCTAAATTAGATTTTTATAAAACTACAAAGGGTATTTATCAATGTGAGGGCTGTTCATTAAGAATAAAGATTAGAAGCCAGTGCTGGCTTTTCCTTAAATTTATGTCATTACTGAATCAGAGAAAATCTACTAGGAAGTGTCTGTAATTTTCCGATACAGTTTCATTGGAAATAAGCTTGTATCAATATTAAAGATGATGCATTGCGGACATTTCGCTTGTTTTATGACCACCCTTGAGATTATACTTTAAAAATGTCTGTTTAGGGGTATCATGGCCACTAGATGTCGCTGATCACCCAGCAGTCTGAGACTGGGCGTTCTTTAGGTTCAGCAAAGCCTTCTGAAATGTTTCAACTGAAGATAAACATGAATGATCTCAGTTTCCGAAATGAGGACATCTTCATCAAATCATTCATCTGTAGAAAAGCTTGAGGCACATGTGGTATTGATTTCTGGTGAATTGGAAGGGACAACACCATGTCAAGCTGAAGAGCTGAACACGTACTATCAGCAAGATCGGCACTTTTATGTGTTTCCTTTTTCATGATCATTGGTGCCTGGCCAATGTGCTCCTCAGTTTCCCAAATTTGTATAACTATCACAATTAGAAAAATGCCCGAGGTACTAAATTTATGATGGCTATTTGTGTCTTAATGCATAAATGCTATTTTATTGTTATTGCAATGATATGCCTTTGGAATCCCATTTCCTTAATTGCAGATAGTTGTAAATTGCTTGCTCAATTTTTAGTAGTTGTTGACATTGACACAGAGTTGTAGATATTTTGGTGTTGTGGAATGTAATAAAGAGATCAAGATACTATTCTGCCTGTAAGAGAAATAAAAATAATTGGAAAAGAAATATGTGCCCTGCAAGTACTAATTTTGTAATCTTTTTGAGAAAACAGATGTGTTTGTTTCATTTAAAGTCAAAGCATAATGTGGGAAATAGTAAAACAAGCAGAAGTTAGGTATTCAAGATATATAGCAATAGAATGCCACATTCTCCTTATAACAAAAATTACCGACCCATGATTTACTTACATACACACAATTTTATGGTTAAAATGAATGGCAGCTTAAAGAATTACATATTGATCCTCATCATTAAAGGATCTCTTTTGTAGCCAGCCACCTCACAGAGGGTAGCATGAAAATGATAAACAATGAGAAAGTATTTTTTTTCAAAACAGTTTTGTTACATATTTACTGGGTTTCAAATATGACTCTACTGATGATATTTATGTCTATTTTGATATAGCTAATTCTCTTCCTTCTATTGACTTATAGATGATAAATATTCAAGTTACCATCCATATTTCTGGCCTTGGTAAGCTTAGCTATTATTCTAACCATCAAGTAGAAACTGAGTACTACTTTTGTTTTATAGTGAGCAAAGCAAATTAAATGAAAATTAAATTGACCTTATTTTCCCTAAGTAGGCAAACACAAACAGAAAAAGGAGCAATTTTGAATACCCAGGGAAATTCACGTGCATATACAACTCTGTAGTCTTTTCAGAAACGAAAAGCACCATGGTAAAGACACAAAAATCAAATGAATGCAACAAATAATTTGGCATTTGGACATCACCTTCACATTGTTCATGCCAAATATTTGGCCCATTTATATTCTCTCCACCATTCAAATCAGAATGTCTTGATTGTCCAATTCCCCAGAACACGTGTGTTTTACTAGGTAAGGTAGTAGATTTGAAGCCGAGTGAGGGAGTATAATTTCTAGAGTGAGGATAAGTTTTAATTGTGTATTGCATAATGCAAATGAAGAGAGGGGGAGAGAAAGAGAACTCGCTTTGTGGAGGATTAGAAAGGCAGCCAGTGCATGATAAAAGCAATACCCTGTAGCCTTGGGTTTTGACTTAGGAGGGAGGAAGGACTGTCACGTGGTTCAGAAGGTGCGAATGGGGTAGAGCAGGTGCTGAGGTACAAGACGACAAGGCCATGTGGAGCTTCTGACAAAACATGCTGATGATGGGCCTTGATGTACCCTGACTCAAGGAGGTGGTGCATCTCAGTCATAGGGCCTTGTCATGAAACTCCTTTGGGAAGGTTAGAAGTTTCTGTCTTCAACCTTTCACTTTATTCAATATTTGTACACTGGCTCTATGATTACAGTATGTTGTCATTAAATTCCGCTATTAGGAGAAACCAATGGTATGGGTGCAAATAAAAGATGTTAATGAAATGTAGTGCAAAGGGTCAGGTTTCCATGCCAACACAGCAATATTCACATCCATACGTACTAGCTACAGTGGGGCCTTGACTTACGAGTGTCCCGACTAACGAGTTTTTTGAGATGCCAGCTGTCTCTTGGCCGATTTTTTGCATTGAGTTTAGAGTAATTTGAGTTAACGAGCTCCTTAACGAGCTCGGTCTTGGAACAAATTAAACTCGTAAGTCAAGGCCCCACTGTAATTCCTAATCAGACAGGTGATTTTTTCATACATTTTTTCTGTATGTATAACTTTTTGTGTCATCAGATTAAGCTATCTTTTGAATTTAAGAATCTGATATTCAACGAAGTCAACCATAAACATCATCAACTATACATCATAATCAAAATATGATGATATACTTTCAGAGATGCCACACTTAGTAAGTTCAATGCACAAAAGAAAGTAAAGGTTGACACTGAGAAAACAATATGAACTAAAAATCCGCCCATCAAAACCCAGCATCCTTAGAACACAACTATTTTAGACTCACCAGAGAGGTGCTCACCAGAGAGATTAGAATCCAAGTAGTGATGGAAGTCATTGGTGGTCCATTCCAGGCAGAGTGGACCATACCCTAGTAAGGCCTAAGTTAGACCAGAGTTTTTAAGTTTTGGAATTATTAATATTTTGGTCCAGATAATTCTTATGTAGAGCTTTTTTGCATGTTGCAGGATATTTAGCAGCATCTCGGGCCTGTACCCACTAAATGCCAGTAGCTCCCCCTTGATCTCCTGTTGTGACAATCTGCAATGTCCTCAGGTATTGCCACATGTTGCCTAGGGAGAAAATCACCTCCAGTTGAAGACCACTGCCCTGCACCCAGCTGAACAGCCAGAACCAAGTCCTGACAAGATCTGCAGGGGGGATGGATTTTGGGGGTGGAGTCCTGTCCATTAGCAGTGCTTGGGAAACACCTCAGGTTTCTCCATATTCCCCATAACAAAGCATACGAACAAACCTACACAATTGAGAG